ACAAAATGGACCTCAAAATTGATTTTGTTGGTTTGTAGGCATGGGATAAGACAATTAAGAACCGGTTGGGCTGACGGACCGGCCTACATAACCCAATGTCCAATTAAACCGGGTCACAGCTACGTGTATAACTTCACTGTCACAGGTCAACGTGGCACGCTCTGGTGGCACGCACATGTTCTCTGGCTCCGAGCTACGGTTCATGGTGCCATTGTGATTCTACCTAAACCGGGTCTACCTTACCCGTTCCCTAAACCACACAGAGAAGAAGTCATCATACTCGGTATTAATTACAATGAGATAATTACGATAACCGTTAAATTTAAAAGTGTTGGTTAAACAATTAAAATTTTCCGGTTTATTTTTATGTAGGTGAGTGGTGGAAATCAGATACCGAAACGGTTGTTAATGAAGCATTAAAATCCGGTTTAGCACCAAATGTCTCAGATGCTCACGTCATTAACGGTCATCCCGGTCTTGTTCCAAATTGTCCGTCGCAAGGTGAATTAATAAATTCGATTATTAAGCTAAATTCACTATAATTTTTTATTTCCTTGTATCATTAAATTATTATGATCTGATATTATAATTTTCCCTTTTTATAAATAAAGGTAATTTTAAATTAGCAGTGGAGAGCGGGAAAACATACATGCTACGTCTAATAAACGCAGCTATGAACGAAGAACTCTTCTTCAAAATCGCCGGCCACCGTTTCACCGTTGTGGAAGTCGACGCCGTCTATGTCAAACCCTTCAACACCGACACAATCTTAATCGCCCCCGGTCAAACCACCACCGCCTTAGTCTCCGCTGCACGTCCCTCCGGTCAATACCTAATCGCCGCTGCTCCTTTCCAAGACTCGGCCGTCGTCGCCGTTGATAATCGTACCGCCACCGCTACCGTTCATTACTCCGGAACGCTCTCCGCCACACCCACCAAAACCACTTCACCACCGCCTCAAAACGCCACCTCTGTCGCAAACTCGTTCGTTAATTCCCTCCGGAGTCTCAATTCAAAGACATACCCGGCTAAAGTTCCGATCACCGTTGATCACGATCTATTATTCACCGTTGGATTAGGAGTCAACCGATGTCACAGTTGTAAAGCCGGAAACTTCTCACGTGTCGTCGCGGCGATAAACAACATTACATTCAAAATGCCTAAAACGGCTCTGCTTCAAGCGCATTACTTCAACCTAACCGGAATATACACAACCGATTTTCCTGGAAAACCAAGACGGTTTTTCGATTTTACCGGAAAACCGCCTTCGAATTTAGCAACCATGAAGGCTACAAAGCTTTATAAGCTTCCATATAATTCGACGGTGCAAGTTGTTTTGCAAGATACCGGAAATGTGGCGCCAGAGAATCATCCGATTCATCTTCATGGATTTAATTTCTTTGTGGTTGGTTTAGGAACTGGAAACTATAATTCCAAGAAAGATTCGAAAAAGTTTAATCTTGTTGATCCGGTGGAGAGAAATACCGTCGGTGTACCTTCCGGTGGTTGGGCGGCGATCAGATTCCGAGCAGACAATCCAGGTATTTATCTAACAAAAATTGTGATAGTATAACTAGAACATAGATTTTTTTTTTTTGTATATTAGTCTAATTGTTTCAATTTATAACAATGACAATTTGAAATAATATGTATATTTGTGGTTGCAGGGGTTTGGTTTATGCATTGCCATTTAGAGGTACACACAACATGGGGACTAAAAATGGCTTTCTTGGTGGAGAATGGTAAAGGCCCAAACCAATCAATTCTTCCTCCCCCAAGTGACCTTCCCAAATGTTGAAAACTCCATTATTATTTTTTGAATATCGATTTAATTCTTTTCTTGACATTTTTTTAATTCGATATGTGTATGCTCATGCAAATTGTCAACAAAGTCATTGTATGATTGTGTTACGCTTTAATGAAAGGTTGAAAACAAAAATCCTTTTTAAACTCACCAACCATTTTTATAGCTGAAAAATTGAGGACTTTTGATTGATCCATATATATGATTCGCCGAGTTCAAATTTTTTTGTAGAACTAATTTAAATACAAGACTGAACTAACTAAGTGATCGGTTAGTTGGTAAAACAAATAATGTTTCTAACTTATGCAATTATTTCAAACTTAATTTCAAGTTTAAACGTGTCTACTCATGATAGGATAAACTAAATAAAAACAAAGTTTTTTCCTCCAAAAAGTCGTTATCGAAGCAGAATTCATCTGTCGTCGAATTTTGAATGAGGGCGGATCTAGGTGAAGAGGTGGTGGGGCACGTGCCCCACACTGATTTATAAATTTTCGCATGTAGTTAATAACATTAAAACATGACTTGGCAATTTGGTTGTGTCATGTGTATTAATTCACCCAACTCGGGTTCAAACCTGTTCAATTGTGCTTTTTTTCTTTTATTTTCTATTAATTTTTCAAATAATATTATTTTTAATTTGTTTTTTTGGTTGACCCTTTTTATTTAAATGTCAATTTTAATTTTTGTCTACATTATTTTATTTTTATTAATGTATATATATATTTTAATAATATATAAATATTAAAATTTAAAATAAAAATTATATAAAAAAATTTGTGCCCCACCCAAAATTTTGTTCTGGATCCGCCACTGGTGCAATGTCACATTTCCAATATTAAAAGAAAACGAGAAAGAAAAAAGACAAAATACTCTTAACAAAAACGATAGAAATGAAATAAAACGAAGCAAGAGTAATAAATTCGACAGAAAAAGGAGTAATTTACTAATTATAGTAAGAGAATCTTGCTAAATATAGAATCCAAGAAGAAGTCACTCTCTATGGAACAGAAACTTGTGTCTGCTACAAATCAGCAGATGACACTTACAGTTTACGTTTCATTATGCATGTGAGTGACACTATGACACCTTAATTTTTGTGTTGGATCTCCTTTTCTTGTCCCAACCTTATTTTATCACTCCATGATAACTATTTTTTTTTGTGTATTTCATATTTTATCAAATTTTTATACTTTATACTTTTTGTTCTTACATATGATTTAGAGGTCAAAATTGAAAGCTCTTCTTTGTTGTAGTAGATTTTAATACGAAAATGTTAAGCCGTCTATCATGATTCCCTGAACCGTGTATTGCAAATAGTTAAATATTTATGCTAGGTATCCTCCTTAGATATATTATTTTTCTTTGTCAACGGGTATGGTAGATATTTTTCGAAATGTTTTTAAAATAGTTCTGAAAGACAAAAATACATGAGTTTGTGAAAATGTTACGACGACAGTTGGCTATAATAATTGGTAGCAATGCTTTATACTTTTACCAAATTTTAATTATATAATTGGCTAGAAGTGGAGCTGTGGTACCGTCCACATGAGGTGGTGAGACATTAATATACAAACTTTTTTACGATATGAAAGCACCCGACACATATATACATTCTTCGTATTATCTTTATATGTTTGAATCAAATAAACAATACTAAATTGAAATTCTCATACACTATAGAAAAATATCTTTGGTTACTTGCCACCCACAGCTCTGTTCCGAGTTTTTTTTTTTTTTGAATTTCTTTAAAGGTTGTGTTCACCACCTAACCCATTTATACAACGGTTCTATAGTTTATGTTCATTAAAAAATTAAGGAGTAATAATATATATTGGATGGTATACCTTCGAATCCCTTGTTTAATTCGCATCTTTTTATTCGGCAAAAGGAATCTAAAATTGGTAATGACAAAAAAAACTAGCTAGTAATCCGGTGAGATTATTTGGTCCAGTTACTACTTATTTATCTCTTTTTTTTTTTGGTTGAAATGTTAAATATAGATTAATTAACAAAAGGAAGTTTATTTATAAAAACAAATTGGAAAGTACAAATACGTAGTATTTTAAAGGTGGAATATTCCAACTTGTCTTTGTAAACCAGGAGTTGTCTCCTAGTGGTAAAGGGCCTCCAGCTGGGGGTACCGCCACCTGGGTTCGATTCCTGGCCACTGCGGATTTCACATGGCGGCTGCAGGCCTCCAGGAGCCGACACGTGGAGAGCCATTTGGCCGCCCACGTGGCTAGTCGGGCCGCTTCGGCGGGCCCGGACACCTGGGTTATCAAAAAAAAAAAAAAAAAAAAAAAAAAAAAAAACTTGTCTTTGTATATTTCTTTAGCTTATGGCTGTGTTATTATGTGAGTATGTGTACGAAATTTAAATATTGAATGGGCTATTTCGTGTTGACAAAAAATAAATCTTTAGTTAAATATATTTCTTTTTTGATTAAACAACGAATTAAGAACCGGCCAAACCATTGAACAGTCGTTTTCTGGTCTTTTTCATTTGATTGGTTACACCTTCTTTGTCATAAAATAGAAATTATGTTATACTTTCTTTCATATATCGACACGTGCATTTGGTTAGTCTTAATCCCATATTAATCTTATATGATTTATCATAATAGCATAAAACAAATATGCTAATTATCAAATAGATAAGCCATACTAAACGTATTTATCTGACCTAAGTTTAAATTTTTTTAAATATAGCATATAAGCATTTACCAAGGAGTTGTCATATTTCTATCGGCCGGCTTAGATTGCAACAACTAAAATAAAAAAAATGTTAATGACTTGACATTGGCAAAACAAAAAAAATATATCTCTGTAACTTTTTCCCTCATTTTTTAAAAAACACTTTTCTCTACACCTTTTCTTGTTGAATGTATTATTCCTATTGATCATCACGTGAAATATAGAAAAAATAATAAAAAGCAAAATTCACTTTTTTTTTTTCCTTTTCGTTTACGACCAAAGAGATCCCCACTTTATGCTCTGTTTATTTTCTCCATGTAATAATTTTCTCGAGAGATTTCTGAAAATAAAGTCGTCGTTTCTTTTTTTTCTTGGTCACTCGAGACTCCAACACAGTTTTAACTTTTAATCAAAAAGCCATTGATTCTCTTCTTCACTCTCTTATCTTTTCTGTTTTTTTCTTCTCTTCTAAATTTCAAATAAAAACAAAAGTATTCACGAAAAAAACAGAGGAGGAGCTATGTCGTCGTCGTCGATGATGTACAGAGGAGTTGATATGTTTTCACCGGAGAACACAAACTGGATTTTTCAAGAAGTCAGAGAAGCCACGTGGACGACGGAGGAGAACAAACGGTTCGAGAAAGCTCTCGCTTATCTCGACGACAAAGACAATCTTGAGAGCTGGCGCAAGATCGCCGCTTTGATTCCCGGAAAAACAGTAGCTGACGTCATTAAACGATACAAGGAGCTAGAGGATGATGTCAGCGACATCGAAGCCGGACTTATCCCCATTCCTGGCTACGGCGGCCACGCCTCCTCCGCCGCAAACAGTGACTATTTCTTTGGTCTAGAAAACTCCAGCTACGTTTATGATTACGTCGTAGGAGGAAAGAGGAGTTCGCCGGCGATGAGTGATTGTTTTAGGCCTCCGATGCCGGAAAAGGAGAGGAAGAAAGGAGTTCCGTGGACTGAGGACGAACACCTGTAACAACCAATTTTTTTCACTACTTCAAATTAATGTTACAAAAAATCGAATTTTATGTTTTATTTTTTAAAACTACCGTACAATTATGCTTATAATACTACAGATTTTAAGTTTCTAAACCTTACAAATTGTTTATTTTGGTAATAATTTTGGAACTAAATCTTTTTTATTTTTTTTGAGAAAAGTTTTGGAACTAAATCTTGTTTTGCGGTATTTTGAGGTATAAATCTATCTCTTTTATTAATATATTTACTTGAAATTCTCTGTTTTTATATGAAGGTATTGAGTAGAATATTTTCTTAAATTGCCTAAGATTTATACTTTGTGTGACAATTTATCACTATTGTGAAATTAAATATAATATTAATATACTTTTCTTTGTTTGACAGACGATTTCTAATGGGTTTGAAGAAATATGGAAAAGGAGATTGGAGAAACATAGCAAAAAGTTTTGTGAAGACTCGAACGCCGACGCAAGTCGCTTCACACGCTCAAAAATATTTTCTTCGACAACTGACAGATGGTAAAGATAAAAGACGATCAAGCATTCACGATATCACCACCGTTAACATCTCTGAGGCAGACGCAACCGCAACCGCAACCGCAACCGCAGCCACAACACTCTCTCCTACTCCAGCCAATTCTTTTGACGTTTTCCTTCAGCCGAATCCTCATCAAAGTTTCGCGTCTGCGTCTGAGTCTTGCTATTATAATGCGTTTCCGCAGTGGAGTTAAATCACTTAGAAATTCTAGAGTTTATCTCCTATAGATTTGTTACATATATATTTCTACGTACATATTACTGCAAAATTGTTGTAAATATTTGTAAGAAAAGGTTTGCGTGTTCATATATTAGGTCTACTTGGTTGTAATTCAGTTTTACGAGTTTTATAATACCAATATATATGTGAATTTACATAATATACTCTTTAATAATCATATAACTATAGTTATTACCGTTGACTTTAATGTCAATGCTTGGTGTGAGACGTTTTTCTTCCCGACAACTTAGGATTAGTTCGAATCAGCATCTAATTCTGTTTTTTTTATTGTTCAAATTAAAATAAATTGGCGAAGTATCTGACTATTATACTACTTTTTTACTTAATATTCTTCCCATAGCTTCGCTGATCGTTCAACAGAATAATTATATTCCATTTACCTCCAATTATTATCCTGAACCTGACGGGTGTTGCGTCCCAAATGCCTGAGCATTTAAATAAAACGAAAAGAAAATGAAGAAAAAAAACTCTAACGTCAAAACTGAAAATACGCCAACAAAACAAAGAGTAGGGAGAAAAAACAAGTTGGTGGCCCACACACACACAAAAATAATGTCGGTTCTGTAAGCCCAAAGAAGAGGTAGTAGTAGTTAATGCCCATTCAACTGTGGCCCAATAAGAGCCCTTAACCCCGTAAAAGTTTTAAGAAACTAAAATAACAATAATAATTTTTTTTATCCTGACACTTACAATTTAAAGACCGGTGATTTGGAGTATTCTAAAATGTTAAATGCATAAATTGCAAAAAGTTGTAAACTACAGTATTAGGATTACGACCTCTTAAAAACAGAAAAATATATAATATGAAGCCGCACCACATGTTTTTCATATTTTCAAATTGCAACCAATCGTAGCGAGTTATATACATCGCCGTACCTAAAACTTAAAACTAATAAAAGTTATGTAAGTGGATAAAAGCAACTAAGGAAGCAAAGTACACTTTGTCTATTCAACACGAAGAAGATCCAGCAAAAGGTTGTAGCCGCCTTTATTGTGTAAATTGTTATGGGTGTGTCACCGTGCAGTGCACTAAGATCAATTGTATAATAGACATGCGCTTGTATGCATAGGTTCGGTCCCTCTTCTATTGCGTTTATATCTAATCTTATAAATTATTAATCACAAAACCAAAAACCTTGTGTCAATTCACAATTTTATATCTGATCCAGCAAAAACGTTATAGTTCATTAGAAAAATCATGAAAACATGTATGGGTAGTGTTGTAAATTCAACATCCAACAAGTCTTGTCGGGGTAGGATATAAGAGAGAGCAACAAAGAAACAAACAATCAAAGACCACAATTTTTCTTTCTCAAACAAGGCATGTTCTTTGTACCAACTTGTGTTTTTTAAATTCAAGCTGGTTCTAAGGGTAGTTTCGTCATTTCTATAGCAATCTCCATCAGGTATGACGTGGCTTCCGCATCAGATGATTCGTTTTTTAGTTATAACCTCCGAAAATAATTTCGCTAAACACTTTAATTATTATTGTGTACTTGATTGATTATGCTTTAATTAATTAGCATGTTGTGCGGTAGACGTAGATTAGACTCGGAATCACAAACCCCCGCAGACAATTATGTAATTAAATAAAAACATATACTCCCTCTTTTTCGTTTTAGTTGTCGTTTAAGGTTTTTGCACACAAATTAAGAAAATCATTAAATTTTTTGTTTTACCCTTTATTAATATATTTTATAATTTTTTCATTGGTCAAAACATTAAAACATTAATGACAAAACATTAATTTTCACCAAACATTTGCATTGAAAACCTAAAACGACAACTATTATGAAACAAAATTTTAATCCTAAAACAACAACTAAACTGAAACGGAGGGAGTAGCAACTAGTATTTATTTAGAAAATATACATAAGTTCTGAATTTTTCCGAAAATACATGGAAAAATAAAATAAGTTTCACAAAAAAAAAAAAAAAAACATGGAAAAATAAAATAAAACAAAACTAGACAGAATTATATAGCTAATAGCTAGGATAAAATCGATATGTGATGTTTCAAATGGAAATTTAAATCTAATGGCTTTTACTATAAAATTTCATTGTACTGCTGTCTAAATTCTTGATATTCGAACAACTTATAGATAAAAAAGATAGAAAGTTAGATTTATAAAATTTTATACGATATCATAGTACGTACAGACTAAGTGTTTAACGCATCTAAAGGTTTCAGATTAATAGAAGAGATGTGAAGTAATCAAAATTTACAAGGTTGACATTTACGTTATTATTCTAAATTTCTAGTCGTTAACTGATTAATTTGAGATATTGAGATTAAATAATCTATATTGACATATGTACCATGTACTTAATGAGTGGAAATTAGGGGTCACATGCATGCATTATGGGTCATGTAATGATTAGCATGACATTAAATAAATAAGTTGGTGTTAAACCGATAATGATTAATTAATGAAAAAGGTATATTTATTGGTCACTCCAAAATATCTGATTAGTGGGAAGTTAGAAAGTATTAATTCCACCCTTCCCAGTTGATAATTTTATCATCACAAAGATAAAATCTATTCACATTTATAGATGAAATCTATTAAATTCATAATCCCGAAAGTGTGTATATATATTTTTTTTTTTTGGTAAAAGGTTAAATAAGTGTGTATATATTGTTGCAGACTTGCAGTACATATCCGTATAAGATGTTCTTAAACTCTAAACTCCAAAATCATTCTAGCTAGCGACTTGTTGGTGGATGAGATAAAACCGATGAACAAGGTCTGAAACAATATTTCACGTGAGCAAAGCTCTGGCACGAAGCAGTTCCATTTTGATAAATGCATGTAACTCACTGTTTATATTAGTGATTGTTGACTTTTTTTCTTTTCTCATGAGAAGTAGTACTTCTCTGTTGTTGTTGGTTGGCTCTCATAATTAAAAAGCACTATATTCTACGTTATTGGTATATATTTGCACTCGTTATAACTGCAATTTTGTAAAATAAAAGACACACAAGTTAATATCCAAGAAAAAAATCCATGTAAATCGAATGAAAAAGTGAAGCCGAATCTATATGGTATTGTGGGAAATCTAAACCTTTTGTTTATATATAGATTAGGGAAAGTGATTTAAAATTGTCCCTACCATAATATGGAGAAAAATGGTCAAAGCACTCAGTTTTGGTAGATTTTTTTTAGATGCATTGAACATGCTTCTAATTAACAGAGTTGACTCCTTTTTCCACCATTCACTTTTACATATTAATATTTATCCAGTACAGCGTATACCTAATTTTTTTTCTTGAAAATGGAATAAGTAAATATGAATAGTGTACACTGAACAATCCACTTCGAAACGATAAAAATGTAAAAAAAAAAAAAAAGAGCACATCATATATAGAAAATAAAATTAAGTACGTCGCTTACTTCAAAAATAAATAGTTATATTAAAAACAAATTCTTTATCAACTATATGGAAAATCTTCTTTAACAAAACAAAAAATATATTAAAAACAAATTCATCATCATTATAATTAAGTTAACTGTTACAGCTACAAAAGTTTGAAGTTGCAAATTTTTAAATATTTGAGATTAGGATGTGTCTAGCTAGTGGACAACCCATAGGCCATATATAGGGTAATTGGTGGGGTAACTTTATCTAAAGCTTTATAACACGACAGCAAAAGTGGAAGATGTTGCAATTTTCCTCTTTTATTCAACTTTTTTTCGCTTCTAGGTTTCGTGATTTACATGTTATTGATCACAATCTGTTTTTACTATTGCATTTTTCTTTTCCGACTTCTCTTATGGTTTAGAGTCAAAGTAAACTTAGAAAAGCAACATGATGTATCACAGATTAAGTGAATGCAAAATAAGAAGACATTTTTTTTAGAAAACATAGTTATAATTTGGTCATTGACTTGTTTAGTTCATAGGGTCCATTTTATTATTTATTTTCCTCACTAGACAGTAGACAAATGGTACATTTTCTCATACTATAATCATATTTATTCTGCTCTTTTTCTTCAATCATATTTATTCTGCTTTTAAATGCCTTTATTAATCCCTTAATGCCGCTGATTAAAATAAGAACCATATTCTAAGCTTTTCATGTTTTAACTACTGTAGAAAATTCGTTTGAATGTTTGATTATAAAACAAAAAAATTCCAACAGTGAGAGTATCGTATAAATATGCAGTATAATTTCATGCCTTTTTTTTTAAGCCAGTAATATACATTTAATATAAGTTGGACACAAATGATGATACAATAATACTTAATACTCCAGCATTTGTATAATCTACTATACTATATGTTGGGATCAATGTCATACTTTATTTGCTTCATAAATCATGCTTTTTTCTTATAATTTTGTTATACTAATAACATTGTCTTATGTTTTTTTATCAGCACATGTAAATAGATATGAAGTAATATAGCAATATGTAGCTATAAAAAGAGAAGTAATATATTAATACTTATAAATAAAATTTGAACTAACGCCATTATAAATAGATAGATAGATGTATATGTATGATAAGTGAAAAAAGAAAGATATATGTACGATAGTAATTTGTTATGAAACGTAAGAGTAGTATATAAAGATACTTATTATAGCCCATATATAAAACTATTAACGTTATTTGACTACAGTATCAATCATTTTCCTCATTGTTTTTGTTGTTGGTTATATTTGCTCATCATTATTAATCACCACATGAAGTGATTATAGCTAATTGTTGCTGTCAGAAGCGAATCAGACTTGAGAATAAGCAATGATTAATAAGAACAAATAATTTAATGGAAATGCAGTTGAATTCTACTACTAATTTACTTCCTTAAAAACAATAATTGTTAACAAACAATTGTAATAGCTGAAATTTGGGATGCATACTAAACAAAATTTAATGTAGTTGGGGAATAGATAATTAATGATCATGTTTTCATGTTATTTGAGTTGATAATGGACCATATGATAAGTGAGTCATTAAATGCTTTTGTTCTTTGAAATGACCAACTAGAATCAATGCGAAAGACACATAGCACATTTGATGTCACATATACTATTATTAACTTCATGTATACATCTTACCATACAATTTCTCTATGTTATTTACTGTTATTTTCATGATTCTCAGCTGATAAGACATTATGCATATCCAAATAGAAGATAACAGAAAGTAAGTATCAAATTCTATATTTCGTTTCCACACTATTGTAATATTCATTGCAACATTCTGAAAATGAAAAAATAGCATAACGAACAATTAATTAGTGGTCAAAATATTAAATATATACAAAGCAATTAACCGTTAAATATTATAGTATCCAAATAAGAAATCGTATTAAAATTACGTTACAAATGTTACTCGTTATATGTCTATTTAAACAAGACAAAAACACACATAACGTTTTTCTTTAATAATATGGTCACCGAACAGAACAGAGCTTAAGTTCCCCATGCAATTAACCTTGGGATCTACTAAAACAACTGAAAAGACAGACTTCTTTAGTTTCCTATGAGATTTATATCGTCAGAAGATTAGATTTTTTTGTGGAAGACTTTTTCATTAAACTAATTTTTCGAGTAAAGAAGAAAAACAGAAGAGTAGGTCTTAACGCTCCATCTGTTTTCCCATGGAGGCTATCTGTCCTCTCTTCTCCTTCCGACCAAACACGTCCTCTCCATCTTTTTTCTTTACTCGAAAATATGAAAATAGCTTTCAGTTGCATATGCAAATTAAAAAGAGGACACTCAGATTTCCTCAACTGTCAAAAATGCTATAGCATATATATATGCTATCTACTTAAATGATACACATTAGGTAATTGTAATTTACTAAATGTTTGTCTGTGATAACAATCGAAGCTAAACCAGACAATCCAACCAAAACTGGATTAAATCAAATCAAGCTAGCAAATAAACAAAACCCAAAGTAAACATAAAAGTCTGTATTTGTGTTCTGTTTGATTTTGATTTGAAATTTCAAAGAAAAAAAAAAACTCTTTTAATTATCACACAACAAAACATCTTGCTCGAGAAAAGTGACGTTAACGCTTTCTGTAAATATTCATTTAGATTTTGCAAGGTGAAATATAATACTAATTGAGGCAAGGAATTTGCAATAGGTGCAATTTTCTATAGTAACAAATTAATTATATAAAATATCACCGGGATTTTCATATAGCTGTATATACAAATCTATTATGATTATAGACTTCATAGCTAAAGAAAAATATATATATATATATATATATATATATATATTTATTTATATATAATAAGAGAACAAAAATAGTAACAACTCAAGTTCATGAATCCAACCATTGATCCGACCACTATATAAACTCCAACCCCCCATGACTCTACTCATCACCCAATACGGCAACATACCCATAACTCCCAAAATCCATATTATATCTTCTCAAATATTTAATCTTTTTCAAAAAAATAAAATAAAATGCCTTGTTGTTCAGTAACAGAAATTTCAAAATGCATAGTTTATCCGGAGAAGAAGTCCACCGTCTCCGATCTCCGTCTCTCCGTCTCCGACCTCCCTATGCTCTCATGTCATTACATTCAAAAAGGCGTCCTCCTCTCGCGCCCTCCTCCTTCCTTTTCCTTCGACGACCTTGTCTCCTCTCTCCGCCGTTCTCTTTCCTCCACTCTCTCTCTTTTCCCTGCTCTAGCCGGACGTTTCTCCACCAGTCCCGCCGGTCACATTTACATAGTCTGCAACGACGCCGGCGTTGATTTCGTCGCCGCTTCTGCTAAACACGTCAAAGTCTCCGACGTTCTCTTACCAGGTAAAGACGTTCCTCTTCTCTTCCGTGAGTTTTTCGTCTTCGAACGTCTCGTTAGTTATAACGGTCATCATAAGCCTCTTGCCGCCGTTCAAGTGACGGAGCTCGACGACGGTGTTTTCATCGGATGTACCGTGAATCATTCCGTAACCGACGGAACTTCCTTCTGGCACTTCTTCAACACCTTCGCTGACGTCACTAGCGGCGCTTGTAAGATCAAACATCTTCCGGATTTCTCCCGCCACACCGTCTTCGATTCTCCGGCTGTTCTACGAGTCCCTCCCGGTGGTCCACGTGTCACTTTCGACGCCGATCAGCCTCTCCGGGAGAGAATTTTTCATTTCAGCAGAGAGGCGATAACGAAACTGAAACAGAGGACTAACAACAGAGTTAACGGAATTGAGACGGCCGTTAACGATGGAAGAAAATGTAACGGTAACGGGGAGATTAACGGAAAAATAACAACCGTTTTGGATAGTTTTTTGAAATCAGATACGAATATTAAGAAGACTCATGATCGGACGGCTGAGATTTCATCGTTCCAATCTCTCAGTGCTCAGCTATGGCGATCCGTCACGCGAGCGAGGAATCTCGATCCGAGCAAGACGACGACGTTTCGAATGGCGGTTAATTGCCGGCACCGGCTTGAGCCTAAGATGGATCCGTACTACTTCGGAAACGCGATACAGAGCATACCGACGTTGGCATCTGCGGGAGATTTGTTAAGCAAAGATCTCCGGTGGTCCGCCGAACAATTACACAGGAACGTGGTGGCGCACGACGACGCGACGGTCCGCCGTGGAATCGCCGCTTGGGAAAGTGATCCGAGGCTGTTTCCTCTCGGAAATCCAGACGGAGCTTCGATCACAATGGGGAGCTCACCGAGATTTCCAATGTACGACAATGATTTCGGTTGGGGAAAGCCGTTAGCGGTGAGAAGCGGCGGAGCGAACAAATTCGACGGAAAAATCTCGGCGTTTCCCGGTAGAGAAGGAAACGGAAGTGTAGATCTGGAAGTAGTTCTGGCGCCGGAGACTATGACTGGGATTGAGAACGATCCTGAGTTTATGCAATACGTATCAGAAGTCACTTACGATTATTGAAAACGACATCGTTTCTGATACACGAAAAAAAAAAAGAAATATCTGAAGGTGATGATAGAGGAACTTGATGGCATGGCACTTTGGACGGTTGAGATTTATCTAAAAATTTTAGATATTTTCGATCTAAGCGTTGTGAAACGAACGGCGTCGTATGATCTACTGGTCTTTGTTCTTAATGTGACAGTATTAATGTACAAAATCCCGTCTTTTTCAATTCGATAATGGAGCTTTTTCTTTCTTTCTAAATTAACAAATCTGTATTATCAATTTAGAAACTTTTTTTTACTATTATAGAGGATATGATAATTTTGAAGAAAAATTCATTTACAAATATCCGACAAAATAATTGACTTTGGGACTATCTTAATCGTATTGTTTAGGGCAAAGAAGTAGTAATGGGACCCAGCCCATGCTTGTAAGTTGTCCACTTGTAACAAAAGGCCCAACTTTGTAGCGATTAATGGGCCTATTGATAGGATGGTGCATGCTTGTGCTTCCAGCGACTAAGAACGACCTTGTACACGTTTTGCTGTCGCCACTCGCCATACAAGATACAAAACAACAACTAAAACGTAAGTGACAACTTGTATAAGGATCAAAACAACTAACCTTTGAGGGTACATTTACTTACATTGTCCGAGCCTTAACAAAGGAGAATCACAAACGAAGCTACTAATCATTTTTTACATACAAAAAAAAAAAGAAAAAACAATGATTTTACTACATATAAATAAAAACACAAAAGTAGTGATGTAAAAAAAAAACTAGAACCCTAAAGGCCAAAGTCCAAACCAGGTTTTAAACCATATCTTACAATTTACAACGTCAACCTTTCCATGAACATATATAAGCAATCCAATTATCCAAGTATAAGATAAACACCATAAACCCAACAGAAGATTTTCAGTAAAAGAAACCACCAACTATCAAATCTTCACATTCCAAACCAAATCTTCGTTCATTGCTTTTTCTACACGTTAACTTCCGGCACTGGAAACAGTCGTTTAATCAACCAATTGATTGGTCCCAAAACATGAACTTTCTTTTTCCTCCAGAACCAAATCGCTGCACTGTATTGTTCATTGCGTATCTTTGTTGTTGCTGCTCTCCAATCATACTTCTCTGTTTCTTCTCTTGCCGCTTTTCCAATGATCTCTCTTGTTTCACGGTCGTGCAGTAAAGTTCTCAGCTTTGTCACGCAGTCTTCGACATCTCCAGGGTTGAACAAAAACCCGGTTTTTCCCTCCTGAAAACATCAGAATCAGAAAGCCGCAAGCTCAATATCACCTAGAGTACTTTGGTTGGCCCATAAGAACAATCAATGCAAGATCTTGATTTTGTGTATACAGTTTGGTTGAATAAAGTTTGGGTTTGTTTCAGTTTGCTTTAAGAAAATTGGCCCAAATGGGTTATTAACCATTTTCAGTTTGGTTTATATGCTCATCAATTTGGTTTGACTGTTAATTGAATTCCAATTCAGATTCCAATTCAGATAGTTTTCACTGACCTGGTCTTCAGGGATTATATCAGGGATTCCACCGGCACGGGCCGCAACTACAGGAAGTCCTGAAGCCATTGCTTCAAGAACCACAAGGCCAAGTGTCTCTGACTCTGATGGCATCACAAACACATCTCCACTTGCGTAAGCTTGTGAGAGTTCATCGCCTTGCAACATTCCCGTGAAAACCGCTGGCATTCCGGTAAACAACTTCTCAAGATCCTCTCTTTAAGAAAACGAAACAGATAAACAAAATTAAAATGTTGTTGACTAGAAATCTTCAGATAACATTATGACCAATCTTTAACAAAATTAGTACTTGTATGGTCCATCTCCAATGAAAGCAATCCGAGCTTCAGGTAATTTGTCCATTACACTGCACACAAATTTCTCATTTTCAGATTTCGATACACCACTTAAAAGAAGTGAGTCCAGTTTATACAAAAATCTAACCTCTTTAGAAGCTCCAAACTCTTCTCTACGCCGATACGACCTACATGGATCACTAGTGGCTTTTCTGGTTCACCATTACTGTTAATTACAAAGCATCCAACATCAAGATTCGCATGGAAAGTATCATTGTTCTTAATGCATATAAACAACAGTATATTCTATTCTTGCCTTAGTCTTATACGCATTTCTTGAGAACGGAAACGGGGATTGAAGCTTTCTGAATCGACACCCTTATTCCAAAGTCGAAGTTGATTAGCTTCAATATATGAAAAAAGAAGAAGAAACTGTTAGTTTTAAACAATCATAGAGTTTGAATAAAACTGTAATGTTTTATCTTTCTTCACCTGCAGTTGCACCAGCTGCTATAAGATCTTTTCCAATGGCAGCAGAAGGAACCAATGTAAGATCAGCCGCTCTGTGAAGGAATCCTGATAAAAGCTTATTCAAGTTTAGTTTTATATTACATGACAATAACCAGAAAAAATGAAGGAAATTTTGACATTTGAAAAGCGGGTTTTACATACTTATTATAGACCACATTGGTTTTACCAACCAACTAAAAGTGTATCTTGGGATGTATCTGCAAACCAACACAAGCTTAATCTTAGACAAAAAAAAAAATCCAACAACAGTGTCAAATGAGGCAGATAAAGGTACTTACACAGGGACGTGTGTGTGGTAAGACATTACTATTGGTACAGAGAGCATTTTTGCTATTGCCAGAGCACCAAAGACCTAAAAAAATTAGTCAGCGAACAATTGGAAAAAAAGTCAAGTTCTAGATTCTCTCAAGTTCACTGTTTTGCTAATGTGAATTCTCGAGGGATTTACCATTATCCCGGGAGATGAAGCGTGTATAATGTCAGGCTTAAACCGTGCAATTTCAGAGATGATTCTTGGACTAAGCGCAAGCGAGAGTGGAACCTTTTGGTAATAAGGGCAAGGGAAGCTGCATAACAGAAGGATAAATTAGCTATATTACCAAATTGAGAACATCCATATAGAGTAAAGTAAATGTTTCTACCTTCTTGATCCAATGACTTTGGCTCCATAAAACTCTTCAGGAACACCTTCATGTGTCGTCACAACTATAACCTATGAAGCAAAAAAGTTAAATCAGGTTAAAAAAAGGAACAGTTTTCACTTCTCAAGTAATTCTATTTCTGGAAACAGTTACTTATTAGGTCTTATTAGCTCACTAAAACTGTACTTAAGTTGAAAAAGTAGATACTTTATTTCACAATAAAAGAACAAACCTCGTCTCCCATTTCACGCAGATACCTAATGAAATTCTGGAATCTGTTTTTATATCCGGAGACATAGCTGCAAAATGAAAGACAGAATCATCACTTCAATAAAATGACATAAGAAAGCTTCTAATCAATGAATCGGTGATTCCGAGAATCATGGGATATTCTAAATTCATTTAAAATCTGAAACTTTGACTCAAAATCCTGAATGAAATTGGTTCTAACGATCTATATAATTGCTAAAGTTGTAGAATTTAGTACTCAAAAAATTGGCGTAGAGTACAAATTCATACATCAACGAGTATCTCTATAAAAATGTAATGATCATCGAAAAAACATTACAGGAAAGTCAACCAAGAATAAATCAGTACAATTCCTTTCACAGAGACATTTCGTCGAACACAAAACAGGCAAAAACAACAACAGAGAAGACTTACGCAAACGGTGAAGGCTCAACAAAGAGAGCAATTCTCCTAGGCTTTGAGAGCGACTCAGGATCGAGAAGCGGAGCTTCAATCTCCGATTCGTCATCTTCCCTAACTTCAGTAATAGTCATATCGTTGGACCCAGAAACAGCCTCCCTAGTAATCTCTCCACAGAAGCGGAGATTGGTTTTCTTGCGAATCAAGCTAATGGGTAATCTCCGTTGACACGAAAGACCGAATGAAACAGGGGAATGAACAAAAGAACACCTGGGAGAACAAGTGGTTGCAGCAGAGGAAGAAGAACAAGTGTTGATGATGATGGTCGTGCTAGGAAGCAAACGAGGAGATATAGAGAGATTTATAGAAGAAAGGGTCATGGCTTTTATTTGACAAAAAAAAAAGCTTAAATTAATAATTTGTGTTGAAGATTTGGGTGTCGTTTAAAAAACAGCAACGTCAGAGAGAATCTGAAGAAGACGAAAGAGTAAATAAAAAGGTATATCCTCTCTGTGAGGTAGAGACAGATAAGATAAGCATCATATTACACATTTTTTAGCATATGCTTCAAATTCGATCTCTTGTGTTGTCTGTTTTTTATATTTTTAATATATATTTATATTGTTTATTTTTTTAGCATAGCATAAAAGTTTTTCTAACAATTCCAATGTTGTTTTTCTACCTCAACACATAAAAATATTTCTACCTAATATCTATAATTTGTGCATAAAACAAAGTTGATCTAAATATGAATTAATGAATTAACCGTTGATACGGTGGAAATGATGTGTAATTTTTCTTAATAAAACGATATGGTTTCGATGAAAGAATTGGAAAGAACATAGAGAAATAAAATTCAATGAAACTGAAAGGTGGATAATAATACTAATATAGTTTTTAACAATCACAATAACGTACTACTGACAAAAATTTGACTTTGTTATTATTTGGGTCAATAGTTTTCGTTACGTATCATATCATTAGACGCACTGATTACTTCGAATGATCTAGTTACTTGTAGATCGAAATAACATAAAACTCAAATAAATACGCAAAGTATTTATTATATTTATATTGCTTATAAATACAACAGAAAAAAGGGACAAAAATAGAAACGTGGAATCTGAAATCTATTCCATTGAATATTCGCCTCACATAATTATAAGCATCTTGTCTTATATTATACAACACAACATACAAACTGCTTGGCTGTCCCATATGGCCATATGCATCATTGCTTGTGAAATATCTAACTTATTTTTCTCATGACCAATAATTTATGGATTCTCATCTTTCTTAAGCTTGAACACAACACATAAACGTAGTGTGTTCCTCCAATTCAAAATCTTACATAATTTACTCAATGACAACATGATTGCTTTCAATATTTCTGATGGCTTATTTTATTGTTTTTAGACTTTTTTAATAGAGAATCTCAAGACATGATGGTGCAAAATTCCATTACACTAAATGGCTAATAAGGGCCCATAGTATTATTAATGGATCCGAATCGGGCTAAGTTTTCTTTGTTCCTTCGGCCCAAAGATGACGAGTCACACAAAAAGTATGGACTCTTGAAAATTTGAAATATTCAATTGTTCTATTTCACTCCCCCATGGTGTTACAAGTGGGGCCCGTTACAAGTGTTATTGGACAAGATCTCAGGGAGTCATCTCTTTCAGATTTCTGCCTTTCTTTCACACTATAACATTGAAATTAATGTACTTCAAATGAAATTTACAAAACAAATAATTGAGACGAACTTTATTTTATTTCAATTGGTTAGAAAAGTATTGTTTAACTGTTACTACATCGAAGTTGAACTTTTTGTATGTGCTAATGATAATTCTCTCTTTATTCAAACTTCTCATTCATAATTTTCTTGTTTGACATAATCAAACTTTTTTTATATATATATAAATAAATAAAGAAGACATATATATATATATATATATATATATATATATGCCTATGTGTGTACACATAAAGTATAATGAATGGGAAACATTGGGGTAGGACCCCTAATATTTCACCTAAAAAACAAAGCTCACAACAGTGACAAGAAGAGAATCAATCTGTTTTTATTTTGGTTTAAAAAATTGCATCACCTTCGTAGAAATTCCACAAGCTATAATGGAAAAAATCAAGAAACAATTAAACAAATCTAGATATTGGAAAACCATTTCATATTAATTGGTTAAATAAATAACTTACGTGTAGTTTGTGCATATAAACAAGTAACTTCTTCCAATTTTCTATTTTCCTCCCTAAAAATTATAATTCCTCAACACACTTGCCCCCATAAATACTCTTCAAAACCTCCTCACGTCTCCATTTGTTTCTCTCTCTTTTTCTCTCTGTTTCCATAAAGTTTCAGACAAGAATATGTCTCGAAGAGCATGCAAAAGAGTAAGCTTTAGTCCGGACCCAGAAGCAAACGACGAACTGATCTTCCCAACACAAACCGGTCTCAGCTCATCACGGCATGGTTCAATGAGGGTCGTTGTTGGAATTTTCAGTTTCGGCGTCAGTGACTCGCCGGCAGCGAAGAGATTAATCCGGCGTATTGGAGCCAGAGTTGGCAAAACGTTTCGTTATATATCATTCGGCAGGAAGAGTAATAACACCAAAACGACGTCGTCATCTTCGAGAAACCTTTTCTCGTCGTCTTCGTCTCTGTCTTGTTCATCCTCTTACTCTTCCTCGTCTATTTATTTGATGAAGTCAAAGTCTCTAAACGAATCAGAGTCTCACCGTGCAGAAGCCATTGAGGACTGCATCGAGTTCTTAAACTCTTGTTCTTCTTTGTCGAGATCAAACTCGATCTCGACTTGGTCTTGCTAAACTATTTTTATTTTGTTTGTAATGTAAATAGAGTTGAAATTGAGAATTGCATAGATGATCAGTTGATTATGGTTTTATGTTGTCGATTCAATTATTCATTTAGCAAGTGACTACTAAAAGTTATAATTCCTCACCCTTTTTCTTGTTTAAGTTTCGTTACAAACTATAAACCAATGTTTTCTAATTGTTGCAAAACTATACTCGACAAAAGAAATTAATGAATGCAGTGCATAATTATTTATGGCTCAATGTAGGACATTTTGATTGTTATTGTTTCAACATAAGTTAGATGTTATGACGTTCACATCACATCTATGTTTACTCTTCTTTCTTTTCCAAGTTGTCCAGCTTTCGAATTTCATGAAGCATAATCGATGAATTTCGTGATATCTTCATAAATAATATTATTGCCTCTTAACAATTACTATATTTTTTTACAGAATCGAAAAACGAAGTGGGCCAGTTTAGAATTCAAAAAGAAGGGTCGAAATCAAAGGACCATAAGACAGAAAAAGCTTCTTCTTTTTTGACCCAATATTTGATTTCTTCCTTAAAGAGAAAATATAAGTAATAATATTTAATTTAAATCTATAGTAAAGTTTTTAAAACATAAAAACTCATCATAACAAACATTAAGCGTTATAGAAATTGTAGGCCCCTAAACATTATTACTACAGCCTTTTAAAGAATCCAATGAAAAGTTTGTTTCTTTTTCTTTCTTGGTATCACCTTCAAGAGTTGAAGCTTTGTGCTGAAGCTTTCTTGAGTTCAAGTGCTCGTTTATAAGGCGGTGCGATCGGAGGTTGAATCGGGTCCAAACTCTGGTATGATGATCCATCTGCTTCTTTAGGGAGTGGGTAAGACCGGTCTGAGTCATAACCGGTTAAGTCACCACATGCCAAGAATGGTATATAAACTTTGTTGGGTCCTTCAAGCCAACCACTACTGCAATCTGCAGAGTACCAAGAAAATAGAAAATCTCAAGAACACTAAAGAAAAAAAAAAGGGGGTAAAATATTCTCCTTTTGAAGCCTGACGTAATATTAAAGAAGATTTCTCTGTCTTGCCCAAAAGGTTAACTTCACATGAAGAGAGCATTTTTAGGTGAGAGTTAGGTTGAGAAAGAGTAAATTGAAAGTGTACTACTCAACAATGCATAATAAGTTAGTTGTGTCTAACTAGAAGAGCTTCAGAATTTTGAAGCTGAAGCTAAGAGGTATTTACCGAGATCGCTTCCACCTGAAGGGCTTCCAACTTTCTCCAAGAGACGATGCAGATCTCTCGGGTTAAATCCTTCTGGCGGAGAGTAATTCTCGCAGACTGCAAAAGCCTCTATAGAAACAGAGTGGAGAAAATGCAATCAGAATCTCTTTTAAAAAGCAACATTTACGTCTTTGATGATTAAACCTTGAGTAAGTAAATCATATTTGCACATGTGAAAGTTCTATTCTTTTACCTATACTCGAATTGCGGCTGCTTTTCGGTTTCGCAAAAGTTACAGTTGGGAAAAACAGCTTCAGCTACAAAGAAAAGGAAATAAATTTATCAGTAAAAGCTTCAGTTAATTTCATGAGCACACCATCTAAACTTACTTGACAGTAGAGACTTGTATCTAACTTGACAGTAAATTTCATGAGCACAACATCTAAACTTACTTGACAGTACAAGAGACTTGTATCTTTTCCGCGGAATATCTTTGCAATAAATTTTCCACCTTCTTTAAGAATATGGGTTACAATCGTTAATCCCTGAAGAAAAACGGATTGTTTGTTACTTTTCATTATTCATGAAACATATGCTTCAGGTTAGAGCTAAATTTTGTTCAAACATGACACACTGATCATGTATACAGATAGATATAAGAAACTTACTGCTAGTATGAGTTGGGACTGGACAAATTCATCCATGTCATGCAAACCAGTAACTGCAAATCAAATTGTAAAAGACGTTATTTTGATGGCATACGGTAAATATTGAACGGCGAGACAGACACTTTATCTACTGTTTTACCATCTGGAGCACCATCACAGACAACCAGGTCCGCTTTGCAGCCGTCAAAGTGTCTAATGACCTTGAGAAAAAAAAAACGAAAAAGTTAAGCCACAGAAACAAACACAAACTCAAGCATAATCAAGGAGGAGGAAAGAGATGCAGATAAATCTATGAGATAAAGTCAAGAAATTTCACCACTTCAGCAGTCCTAGCATTAGTTATGTCCCCTTGGACCTGGATGACACCTTCAATTGGAGCCATAGGCTGCAAATCTATGGCTACTATAAGAGGAAGATCTCCTTCTCTGCATAGAGTTTCAGCAGCGAGAAATCAATTCAACTTTGTCAAGAAGTGGATTACTAAACTAGCAGAATTAAACAACTACAGAAAAACGATGTTGAAGA